TTGGGCTAACAAATTCCCCGGAAGCTTTCATGAATTTCATGAGCATCATGTTTTAGCCTTATCTAGATTCCTTCGTTATTGTGTACATTAATGACGTATTGGTGTATTCTCGCACCCGGGAGGGGTATGAGCAGCATTTGGGATCATGCTCCAGACTTTGAGGGTGAAGAAGTTATTTTCTATGTTCTCCAAGTGCGAATTGTGGTTAGACTAAGTCGCATTATTGGGTCACATGGTGTCTTGTGATGGGATTAAGGTGGATTTGAAGAAGATTGAGGCAGTTTACAGTTGGCCCANGGGGTTCATCTATTACAGGCCCGCTAACTAAGTTGACTCACAAAGGGTGCCCCATTCGGTGGTCTAACGAGTGGGAGAAAGCTTTCATAAGCTCAAGACTGCCATGACAACGACTCCAGTTCTGGTTTTGCCTTTAGGATTGGGTTCATATACAATCTACTATGATGCTTCGTGGGTTGGCATTGGATGTATGTTAATGCAGGATGGTAGGGTGATTTCCTATGCTTCGCATCAGTTGAAGCCCCATGAGAACAAGTACCCGGTGTATGATTTAGAGTTAGCAACTATTGTACACGTACTTAGATTTGGAGGCATTATCTTTATGGTGTGTCTCGTGAGGTGTAAACGGATCACCGGAGTCTTCAACACCTATTCAAGCAAAAAGATTTGAACTTGAGGCAATTGAGGTGGATAAAATTACTAAAAAGACTATGATATCACCATATTTATCATTCGGGAAAGGCAAATATGGTGGACGACGCCTTGAGTAGAAAGGCGGAGATCATATAGAGTCTTGCTTTTATTCCAGCTTGGGAGAGGTCGTTAGCTATGTATGTTTAGGCTTTAGCCAACAGCTTTGTCAGGTTGGATATTTCAGAGCCTAGTAGGCATTTTTCTTGTGTCGTATCACGATCGTCCTTGTTTGAGTACATCAAGGTGCGTCAATATGATGATCCCCACTTGTTTGTCCTTAGAGGACACGTTGCACCATGGTGATGCTAAGGAGCTGACTATTGGTTATCATGGAGTATTGAGGCTTACGGGTCAGATATGTCTTCCTAATTCAGATGGCTTGAGAGAGTTGATTCTTGAGGAGGCTCATAGTTCACGATATTCCATTCACCCTGGTGCTACGTAGATGTATCATAATATGAAGCAGTAGTATTAGTGGAGAAGGATGAAGAAGGACATTATAGAGTATGTTGCACGGTGTTTGAACTGTCTGCATGTCCAGTATGAGCATTAGAGACCTGGATGTTTGCTTTAAAGGCTAGATATACCGGAGTGGAAGTGGGAGTGTATCACTATGGATTTTGTGGTTGGGCTGCCACAGACCTTGAGGAAATTTGATGTTGTGTGGATCATTGTTAACAGAATGACCAAGTCTGCACACTTCATTCTTGCCATAACTACCTACACTTCAGAGCAACTAGCTCAGATTTATCATAGAGAGATTGTTAGCCTGCATGGTGAGCAGTTGTCTATCATCTCGGATCAAGGCACTCAGTTTAATTGCATTCTGGGGAGCCACACATCGTGAGTTGGGCACATGATATGTGTGGATTTTAACAACTTATTAGTACATTATTGATTTAGTTTTTAGATTGAAAGTAATGATTTTTGTCTCCGAATCCAATGAAAATGGGTGAATTGCAGGTGTGCTGGAGAATGTGAGCTCAATGAAGAAATAAAACTCAAAGAGTAGATATTCCAACTAAGATCAGTAAAGAGGAAAAATGAAAAGAATAGTGCGGTCCGCAGAATTCCATCTGAGACTGCAAAAGTAAATACAGCCCGCAAAAGATAAAAATGCAGCCGCAAAATAGGAATTGAAGGTTCAGTTTGGCAAAAGTGCGGTCCGCAAACCAAAACATGCAATCGCAGTTGGTCCGCAAAATAGGTTCGCACTAACAAGCCTAAAAGATTAGAGAAACTGCAATCAAACAAAGTATGAAGCCTCCTCAGAAGTGTGGTCTGTAGCAATTCAGTGCGATCGCCGAAGCTGAAGTCCGGCCGCAGTAGTTAATGTGCGGCTGCCGCATAACTCCTCTAACTGAAATCACTCGAAGCACTAACCTAGCAAAGTGCGGACCGCAGATGTTAAAGTGAGGCCGCAGAACTCTCTGAAGGGTATTTTGCCAGGATTTTTGGAGCACTATAAATAGGCGTGAAGCAATATTTTAGGGCATCTTTTTGTATTGTAGCAGCAATGGTAGTTATTCTTAGCCATTTGGGAAAACTTTGTGCTACAATTAGAGAGAATCAATTACTTTTCAATTTTAATTTAGCTTTACGTCTTTAACTTCTTCTTCTTTTCATTTTTGTATGTCCATTACTATGAGTAGCTAAATTTTATCTAGGGTTATAATCCAATCCTAGTGCGTAAAACTTATGGAAGTTTAATATTAATGCTTTCTATTGATCGAGTTAATGTTATTTAGCCTTGTTTATGATTTAAAGTTAGAATTAATAATTGCAAATATTGATTTAGGCCTATTTGCTTTTTTCTTACTTGAGAAAGAGGAATTTAGTCTAGTAAAACTTTGCTAACAATAAATAAAACTAATTTAAGTATTTATTAGTTTAATTAAAGCATTTGAAGTAGAGATAGGGATAATCTACCCATTTGGACTTGAGAGAGTCGATTTGGGCATAATCACTCTGTAACCGAGAGGTATTGAGTGGGTACTTGTGTATTGAGAGTTATAACTAATCCTGATCTACCAAGCAAGCATTGATTTACTCTACCCATTAGGTTTACACCTAGGTTAATGTTACAACCCTAAGCCTTTTTCTATTTGATAAAATTTCAAAAATATTTCAATCATTACTTGTTCATTAGTTAGTTAAATTTCTTAGTAGTTTAATTTTGAAGAATTGATAACCACTTTTGTTTGGAAGCTAAATCTAGCTATTTCAAGTTTCTTTCTTAAGTATTTACCTTAACACCCATTCTAAACTCCTTGTGTATTCGACCTCGACTCGCGTTGGGTTTATTATTGTAACGACTGTTTCATATACGTGAGTTTGTTTCTTGAAGTATCTTCTTCTACTTTCGTGATTCTAACTTCTTGAAGTGATTGTAGGTTCCAAATGGAACACAACAAACTTGAAAACATACCCTTGGGAGTGGTGGATGACAAAGTGGAACAACTTGATGAAATGCCACAAGTTCTACTATAAAATCACCGAGGCGGTGGGCAACAAAGCCACAACCATAAGCGGCATAACATCGGAATTTGCCAAATAAAGGGTATGCAAGTACCATATACCTCCCTCACATTAGGTCGGGCAACTTTCAAATAATGTGATGCTCAATTTTCTTGAGCAACGAGGTTATTTCACTGGGGCACCGACTCAAAATGCTTACAATCATTTGAACGTTTTTGTAGATACATGTTGGGGGAGCAAAAAAAATATTTCGGAAGATGCTTTGCGGGTTAAGGATTTTTCCCTTCTCACTAAAGGGTAAGGCTTTGGATTGGATGGAGTGCTTGCCTAAGCATTCTATTCATACATGGGATGAATTGGCGACGAAGTTTATTTTGAAGTTCTTCTCTTTCGGGCACATGGAAACTCTATAGGATGAAATATTGGCTTTCAAGCAAGAGCCCAATGAACTTTTGCATGAAATTTTGGAGAGATATCAGACTATGGTGAAGGAGTGCCCAAATACTGATATGACCGACAACATGATCCAACAAACATTCTACCCTGGTATTAATACCACGAATCAATGTGTGGTCAATATATTTGCCGGAGGCAATTTCATGGACAACACTTTATGCGGAGGCATGTGAGATTCTTAATGAGATGGTGAATATTTCTTCAGCTTTGCAATCTTGAGCTAATGTTCCCCAAGGTGATCCTAACATGATTCATCTTCAAAAAGAATTACTAGACCATGGGAAAGCTATTGCCGAATTGTCCACAACCATGACTTAACTCGCTAAGGCTCAACTTCATCAAACCCAAGCTCCTAAGAAAATTCATGTTATGGAAGGAGTGAATGTCTTGGATAACAAGAAGAGGACTAAAGGTCCCCAATTTCAACCTGAGTAAAGATTTATACACATGATGATGGTAGCTACGATCAAGATGACTTTTATCAAGAGCGAGAAGAAGAGGTACAATTTGTGAACAATTACCAAGTGAAACAGAGCAATTTTCAAGGCTCTAATCAATATCAATGGGGTTCTCAAAATAACCAAGACAATTGTGGTTCTAAGAATCAAGGGAACTGACATAACAACAACAACAACCAAGGGAATTGGGGAGGCAACCATCAAGTAAATTGAAGAAACAACAATAATCATGCAAATCAAAGTTCGGGTTTTCAAAGACCCCCAACGTACCAACAACCGAGCAATCCACCTCTCTATCCTTCCCAAGATTCAAGTTCTTCAAGCAATAAAATGGGTTGTATTGAGAACATGTTCAAGTAAATGATGGAATCTAATGTGGATTCGGATGCCCAACTTGCCTCACATACCACATCAATCCGTATTCTTGAAGTTCAAATGGGGCAAATTTTTCAAGATCTTAATTCCCATCCTAATGGTGTAATACCAAGTGATACGGTAGTGAACCCAAAGGGTGGTAACAATATGGGGCATGCTATGGCTATTCTCACAAGAAGTGGAAGAGCCGGGAGTGCACCCACCTCAAATGAAAAAAAACTTATGGATGATGACTTATCCAAGAGGAGGAAATACCACAAAATGATGTTCAAGTATATGATGATGTTTAGATTAATATTGATGATAGTATGGAGGAGAACCGAGAAGAGGTGAACCCATCTAGGGAACATGCCATTGACATACCAGATCTGGTGGTGCAAAGCAAAGGCACCCTTGACAAAGCCTCCACCTCCTTAGCCTCAAAGTCTTGATAAGCAAATTGGTAAGAATCAATTCAAGAAGTTCATTCAAATGATGAAAAGTCTTTCTATTAATGTGCCATTGGTGGAAGCTTTGGAATAAATGCCTGGTTATGCCACATTTACGAAAGATCTTGTGACCAAGAAGAGGTCGATGAACTTTGAAAAAATCAATTTCACTCAACAAGTGAGTGAAATTGTTCATTCCATGGCTCGCAAGTTGGAGGATCACGATGCTTTCACAATTCTTTGTACCATTGGAAGTGCCAATTTTGCTAAAGCTCTTTGTGATCTTGGGGCCATTATCAATCTGATGCCCTATTCAGTGTTCAAATCTATAGGGAATGGGAGACCAAGTCCCACATCTATGAGGCTTCAAATGGTCGATCGCACAATGAAGAGACCGTTAGGAGTGATTGAGGATGTATTGGTCCGAGTTGATAAATTTATTCTTCCGGCAGACTTTGTGATTCTAGATTATGAGGTTGGCTATAAAGTGCCTGTCATTCTTGGGAGGCCTTCCCTTTCTATGGGTAAGGCTCTTTTTGATGTTGAAGAGGGAGAACTCACTTTTCGGGTTGGTGATGAACAAGTAGTATTTCATGTGTAAAAACAAATCTATTCGGCAACCAAATGGCAATGTGGTGTGCTCTTTTGTGTAATTGGTGCCGATGTCATTATTGATGACACGAGTGCAACAATCAATGTTGGTGACATGTTGGGAGCCGCTTGTCTCAACTTTGATGATGATGAAATTGATGGTTTTATGGAGTTCATGAATTTGTCGCAAGGAATGGGGTCTTACAACTATGCACCCCGAAAGTTGTCATTGGATCTTGAAAATAAGAAGACTCATCCTACAAAGCCTTTATTTGAAGTGCCACTAACCTTGGAGTCACCTTTATTTGAAGCGCCACCTTTACATGTCCATATGGTACTTTTAATTTCTATCGAATACCTACTAAATTGTGCAATACGCCAATAACTTTTCAACGGTGTATGATGGATATCTTCATGGACATGGTAGAATACTACCTTGACGTCTTCATGGATAACATTTTGGTGGTTGGAGATTTATTTGATGATTGTCTTGCTAATTGGGACAAGGTGTTGGCTAGATGTGAGGAAATAAATTTGGTACTCAATTGGGAGAAATTTCATTTCATGGTTGAGGAAGACATCATTCTTGGCCATATGAATTCAAAGAATGGTATTGAAGTGGATAAGGCGAAGATTGAAGTTATTTATATTCTTCCACCCCCTACCTTAGTGAAGGGTGTGAGGAGTTTCTTGGGCCATGCAGGATTCTAACGGCAATTTATCAAAGATTTTTATAAAGTGGTAAACCCGTTGTACAAATTCCTCGAGAAGGATGCCAAGTTTTATTTGATTATTGTATGAGAGCTTTTAAACAATTGAAGCTCGAGTTGACAACTACTCCTATCATTGCATCTCCAAATTGGAGTTTTCCGTTCGAGCTCATGTGTGATGCAAGTGATGTTGCGGTTAGGGCTGTTTTGGGGCAACATATCAATAATGTTTTTCATCCGGTATACTATGCTAGTAAGACCATGAATAGTGTCCAGGTCAATTATAAGATTACGGAGAATGAGCTTCTTGCTATTGTGTTTTCTATTAAGAAATTCCAAAGTTATTGTCCACAAGGATCATGCGGCGCTTCGCTATCTTATGAACAAAAATAAATCTAAAGCTCATTTGATAAGATAATTGCTTTTGTTTTAAGACTACTATTGGGATGAACCATCCGAAAATCCGAAAAAGGTATGGTTGTCTTGGGATGAACAAAAATGAGATAAGTGGTTCGCCACATGATAGGGATTTTCAAGACTACTATTGGGATGAACCATACCTTTTTCGGATTTGCACGGATGGGGTAATTAGAAGATATGTTTCGGAGGAGGAACAAAGTGATATTCTTGGGGCTTGTCATTCTTCGCCGTATGGTGGTCATCATGGAGGAGCAAGAACGGTGGCTAAAGTACTAAGTTGTGGTTTCCATTGGCCTACTCTCTACAAAGATGCAAATGAGTTGGTAAAACGATGTGATGAATATCAATAGGCCGGTGGAATTTCAAAGAAACATGAGATGCCCCTTATAACGATCTTGGAGATTGATATCTTTGATGTTTGGGGCATTGACTTCATGAGCCATTTTGTGAGTTCTTGTGGAAATACCTACATTTTGGTCGCAGTGGATTATGTGTCTAAATGGGTTGAAGTCGTCGCGTTACCCAAAAATGAGGCTAGAAGTGTGGTGGCTTTCTTGAAGAGGAACATTTTCAAAAGGTTTGGGACTCCGCGGGCAATCATAAGTGATGGAGGGTCACATTTTTGAAACAAGGATTTTGATATTTTGATTGGCAAGTATGGTTTCACTAAAAAAGTGAAAAATCCCTATCAACCACAAGTAAGTGGTCAAGTTGATGTATTCAACCGTGAGATAAAGAGTAGTTTGTCTAAGATGGTGAATGCAAATCGGACAGATTAGTTAAGAAGCTTGAAGATGCTATACGGGCATATAGAACAACTTACAAAATACCTATCAAAATGTCTCCATACCGGTTAGTGTTCGGAAAAGCTTGTCAACTTTTGGTAGAATTAAAGCACAAAGCAATGTAGGCCTTGAAGAAATTGAATCTTGATTGGGATGTAGCCGCTCACTTGCGGGTTGCACATTTGAATGAATTTGATGAATTCCAGTGCTATGCATATAAGAGTTCTTCCTTGTACAAAGAAAAGATAAAATACCTTCATGACAAGTATATTTGCAACAAGGAGTTCAAGGCCGGTGATCTAGTGTTGTTGTTCAACTCAAGGTAGAGAGTGGTCAATTTGAAATTGAAGATAAAATACCTTCAATTTCTTTGGACTTCAAGAACAAGAACAATGAAATATTTCGAGTCAATGGCCACTGAATGAAGCACTACTTGGGAAAAGTTGGTGAAAGCCACATGGTGGCGGTACTTTACTTCAGTTGATTATGCTATGACATTGCGTCGTGCCACGACATTAAATAAGGCGCTACTTGGGAGGCAACCCAAGTTTTTTTCCATTTTTCTCTTTTAAGTTAGATGTTGCTTCCTGTTTTTAAATAGATTTGAAGTATGTTGCAGTGATCAGTGTTAGGTATTAAGATAATAGCTGAAGATATGCCCTGCATGGAAAATGCGGACCTCACTTTTATTTATGCGGCCACAGAAGAGGTGATGTGTACCGCAGAAAATTGCTCGCGATCACAGATTTTACCTGTGGACCACGTTTGCAAGAAGATGCTCAGGTGCTAAATTGAAGGTCCTCTGTAATATTCTCCCAACAGTAATCTCAAAATTTACTGTCGCAGGAGAGTAATCTCAGAGAAGACATTAAAACTAAGTTGACAGAAGTGTGACTGTACTTAAAATTGTGCGGACCGCACAACTAAATGATCTCCTCCTCCCAGGTAACAAAATGCAGACCGTATTTCAAATTTTGCGTCCGCACTTGCCTTCTTTTGCCCTTAGCCACGCATCAGTATAAATAGAACAGTAGGTCTCCCATTTGCACCTTTCTCCATTTTTCACACTCTAACTGAGACTGTACTAGGGACCAAGTTACTTGCACTTTTGACCACGCAAAGCCACCCACAATCCAATCGCTCCTATCACACTACTACATTATGGTGTGCATCCCTTAAATCATGTTATTTTTCTTTTTGAATTTATTTTTGCCTTTTAACTTCTTTTTAGGCCATTTGTGATTACTTCATTTCTTTGTGTCTGCGTGGGGTAGTTTAACATTGGGTGAAACCATTCTTAGATAGGGTTGGATTTTTTTTATAATCATGCCTTTACCATGTTATCGAGTAATATTGAACATATAATTGCATAACCTAAGTAGAAAAAGAATTTCATCTGTAACAGTTCCTGATTATGCGGAACGCATTTGAAATTTTCAGGTCCGCATTTTCTAATTTTGGTAGCTTGGCTGATAACCCTAATTGTGCGTCCGCATTTTATTTGTGCGGACCACACTTAAAATTTTGCGGTCGCAAAGAGAGGTCCGCACTCTCCTTCAGAGAACTTCTTCTCTGGGACCTAAGTATTTTTACTCAAGTGCGGACCGCAATAAAATTATGCATACTGCAATTTGATTTTTGCAGCTGTAGATGCAAGTTTGCACTGTCCTTCAGAGACTTCTCTCTAAGGGGTTGACACATTTGTGCAGGAGCGCGGCCACACTTGGTATTGGGTGGACCACACTTTCTCTTGGCGGACCGCACTTGAAATTGTAAGGACCACACTTGAACCCTGTCTATTGCATGTTATAGACTCGACACCCTTCTGCTTCTATGATGTCCTCTACTACTAATATGACTCTTAACTGCTTTGCAACTTGTATATCAATTGAAAAATCTCATTGTACATATTCAAATAATGGTGCAATCAAGAGGAAAAGGAGAGACATCCAAAGGAAGGGGTGGCCAAGGGAAAGGCAGAGGCAGAGGTTCTATGCACCCAACTACACAAAAGATAATCGCCAAGAAAAGAACTGCAGGCCGAGAAAGAGGTAGAAGCCTCTCAAATTCAAATTCTTATATCCCGTCTAGGGATGCCTCCAAAGAAAATTTCGTGTCTCTATCTAAGGAGAATAATGAGGAGCAGTCTCGGCCCCAGCGCAGTCTGAGCTCCATGTTGTGCCCTCCACATCTCAGAGCACCTCACAGGGCATAGCTAGCACCAGTCATGAGTCAAATGGAGCTGCTCATGGATCTTTTTCTGATGAAGCTCCCAATGACAGAAAAGGGGGAAAATTTGCAAAAGATGGCAAAGTGAGGACAAAGAAAAAGGTGGTCTGCGAAGACAGATTCTTAAGCTTCAATGCTTATATGGATTTCCGACGGTGGTGGACCGAAAGGTCCGTAATTTATGAAAGACAATTTCTTACCAAGGACTTAGATAAGTACAATCCAGTAGTCCTAGAGCAGTTTACAAAGAGGAAAAGGATGGATGCAGTTCACTGAGGAGTTAGTAGATGTCAAGAAACATTTTATCGGGGAATTCTATGCGAACACGGTGCATATTGTTAAAGGGACCAAGGTTGCCAAAGTGTGCAACCTTAAAGTGAAATTTGATCAATGCACTTTGAACACCTACCTCGGACTTGAAGATGTGAAGCCGAAGGATTATTCCGCTAAGTTGGCTGAGAAGGAGGAGGTTTGATCATGGCTCACAGATATTCTTGCACCTGGGCCTACTCCCCCATTGGATAGGTGCCGATCCTCCGACATACTCAAATTTTTGAGGCAAGGGTGGTAAACGTTTGTGTGTACAAGATTTGATTCATGCTTGAAAAAGAACAACTTGCCTCTGGCGAGAGTAGTGCTAGTAGCTTCTATCATGCCGGGTACCCAATCAATATGGGTGCTATGATGTCGGCCAATATCTCTCTCGTAAAACAGCAGGATAACACATCCTACCCCTACCCCCAGTACCATCATTGACTACTTGACAGATTCCAAGGTTGAGTCCAGGCCATTTGATACAAAGATTAAGCCAATCGGCCCCTTCTGTACAAGTTGCAAGACCTGAGGAACAAAAAGAAGAGCAGTCA